TGTAAAACAATGAGCTGGTTGATTTTTCCTTAGGAATAGTAGAGCTTTGAGAATACTATGAAATCCTCCAAATTTGATAGTATTCTCTTTATGTAAAATCCTTTTGTCATTTTATTGCCCAAAGAATCTAATTACTCAGTATAATTAGACCTTTATTTATTTTGGCGTGTAAATTAATAATGCTTATCTGCTCTGCATTTAGAACGGAAGAATTTCATTATAGGTACTTATATTTTTCTCAGATTATGTTGCATTCTTTTGGAGTGCGTTTTTGGTTTATTTACAGAAAAATGGGACGTACGCCTTCATGCATGAGGTCTGCATTTCAGTGAGCAGCAGGCACATTTAGTTGCACCCTCCTGCAGGCTTAGAGGGATCGGCAGACCTACCTTCAAGTCAGTGCTTCGTGCGCTTCGCGTTTCTCCGGGATGCTAGTAGTGAGGCCGTGTAGATCCCGGGTTTGTGAGCAGCCACCTTCTCGTGTGCGTGTTCTGGAGATCTCCCTGCTGGAGATTCCTGCGTGCACAGCTGGCCATCCCTGCAGAATTCGTGAGTCGTTTCTTAGTGTGCTCAGCAGGACGTCAGACCCTGTATCTGCGGCTCAGGTCATTGCAGAGCTGAAGGTTCTTTGATAGTTCAGAAATATTTTCTGGTGGTTGTGTGGCTTTTGTTTTTGTTGTGTTTTTCATGGGTAGTCTGGGAGAAAACTCTGGTGCAGTTTTTTTGAGATGTACTCCAGTGTTTAATGTAAAAGCTCTTTTTATGTTGAGTAGTTTTTCTGGGAGAGCATATTATCTTACATTTCTGTAGTGGTTTTGGAGTTACCAAGTAGGTACTCATAGCATTTTTTTGATGAAAGGGAGATAGAAACTTAGAGTAGTTGGCCTTCCAGGATGAAATATCTGTGAATGAAAGAGCTAATAGAATTGAAGTAATTTTCTTTTTATTTGTTACCCTAATGTAACCTAAATATCTCTGTATCATGAGACACTCGACCATGGACCTTTGTGTCTTAATATTCTAATTAAAATAACCAGACCTTAATTCATTCTAAACGAGTGAAGCATGACAGATTATAGTCCCTGTGTTTTCAGATTATATTCTTTAACCACATTCCTTCCATACATTTGGATTGAACCTGAATCCTATGGTATTTGGTTTTCAGTGTAATATTTTTACTTCAGTTCAAGTTTAACAGTACGAAAGATGAGTGAATGGGGTCTTGCCCTGCTCCTGCTACATCATACATCCAGGTTAATTTTTACTGTGGGAATATTTTTTAAATACAGGATATATAAGTGTTTTTTCTGCATCTGAAAAGTTCTTGGTGATATCTGGGTGTGGTGGTACACTCCTGTAATCCCAGCACATGGGAGGCTGAGGCAGGAAGGCCATGTGTCCCAGGCCAGCCTGGGCTCCATTTCTTAGTGACACTCTGGCCTTGCTCTTCCAGAATCTCAGGTTTGACAAAAGTCCTTTTGTCAGATAATGGTCTTTTTATCAAAGGATCGGAAGGGTTTAGTGAGTCTCGTGGTTTTAATGTTTTTGTGTATCCAGACTATTTCTGTGGACTTAAGACTTAGTAATCTTCTGGAAATGTAGCCCCCCCAAATATTTCACCCAGATTGTAACTAAACACAGTTAAATGTAGTCTCTTTATGCTTACTTTATTTTCCATAAAATGGTTACAGGTTTCCACTTGATGGAAGGTATTGCTTTAATAATGTTTCTAGACATTATTTCATCTGGAGTCTGGGCTGTATCTGCTCACTGGTGAAGTCTGGGGCTGATGGCCTTAGAGGGCCAGCCTTCGCCGCTGTGGTCATCTCTGCTCCTAGGGGGAGTCAGAAGGCGGAGATCGTTGTTCCTTGCCTGTGCAGTGACCGCTCGGGTGTTTGAGATAGAGGTGGTGTCCATCTGGAAGCAGCTGAGTCCCTCCCGCTCCCCGTCTCGTCCTCGTCTTCCCCTGCCTTGCCTGGTCCTCTTCCTCCTCCCCATCTCTCCTCCCTGTCTCCCTTCCCTCCTCTTCCTCTCTTTTGACACTGTCTCACTGTGCTGGCCTCAGGCTCAGCCCTCCTGCCTTAGAGACTAGACTTTCAGAGTCCCCCCTATTTTCTTTTTGGTTTGAGAGAAATGAGAGCAGAGATCACGCAAGTGGTACAATAGTAGAATTCTTCACTATTGTAGAAATCATGTGCAATCCTGTCTCCAAATACGTATTTTAAGGCATTTCTTTTGTTTATGTGGATGACTGGTGAGAGAATTTTAAACCAGCTCCTACTTTGTGTTTATTACTTGAATTGAAAATTTAAAATTAACTGAATCTGTTATTTTTTGAATCAAGAAATAGTTAGGTGTAGTATCATCTACATGTCATTATCAGACTACTGAATTAATCAACACAGCCTGTAATGTTTGTTTCTTTTCCTAGATTTAGTTTTAAATGTAGCAGTAACACAATTAAACAGCGTGTCAGATGTCAGTAGTGGTCTTACCCAGACCTATGATGAAATATTTTTGTTTTCAGGTAAAAATTGACCTTATCCATTCATGCATAGGTTTTTTTTCCCCCCACAGCCTTAAAATTTTTTATTTCAGACTGGAATGTTTTAAAATACATTTTTTTCCCCCCCGCTTTCTGATCATGCTGAGGTTTGAGCTCAGGAACATCAGAATTGATAGGCAAGGGCATGGTGGCGCACCCCTGTAATCCCAGCACTTGGGAGGCTGCAACAGGAGGATCGCCATGAGTTCGAGACCAGCCTGGGCTACAAAGCGAGCTCAAGGCCAGCCTGAACTGCATGGCGAGACCCTGTCTCAAAAAGGCAAAGAAAAAAGAAAAAAAAGAAAAAAATTGATAGGCAGGGACTCTGAACCACATTGCGGCTCTTAATGTCTGTTTCTTCAGTTTGTGTGTATCTTCCTGGGCTCGGTACGTAATACCCTGTAGTACTCCTATCGCAGACAGATGATTCTCTCTGTAGTTGTTCTTAGCATCCGAAAACGCAGCCTACAAGTATTTCTTTCACGGAGGTGGTTGCAGTGGTTAGGAAGCAGTTTTCAGTGTTAAGTTGGAGGGTCATATCACCAGTGAGGAAATTGATGATCTCACCAATAGGAAAATTATAAAGAGTACAGTGTTAGTGTTGGTTCTTTCCAAATTTATAATTTGCCAGGTGTGGTGATGCATGCCTACAATCCCAGCACTAGGGCCGAGGTGGGAAGATCGGTGCGAGTTCGAGGCCAGTCTGAACTACATATAGTAAGACCCTGTTTGAAACAAAACGAATATAGAAAAACAATAATACTCAGTACTCTGATCCTAAGCATGTAGCTCTGTTATAATAGGAGGGCTTGTGCCTTTTGCTTTGCTACTATATTAATTCAATACCTTGTACTAAGAGTTGCTCCATGATTAAAAAATTTGGAAATAATTCTTGTTGGAAGAAGTGGTATAAGAATAGATAATATTAGCTTGAATTATATGAGAAGTCATGAATAGAAAAATCATAATTGATTTAATTTTTACTCATCTCTTTCAAGTTGAAAACAATCAGTGTCTGTTAGTTTAACATTGTTGACCTTCTTTTTTCATTTTGTTAAGAATACCCCACATTGCCAGGTGTGATGGCGCACGTCTGTAATCCCAACACTTGGGAGGCTGAGGCAGGAGGATTGTTGCGAGTTCAAGACCAGCCTGGGTGCAAAGTGAACTCAAGGCCAGTCTGAACTGCATAGTGAGACCCTGTCTCAAAAAGACAAAAAAAAAAGAATACCCCAAATTGTAACATTTCTGCTTGAGAACCACCACAGGTACAGACAATGTGGTAACACGTTGATTTGGGTCACAAAAGCCAATCTACTGGTGATGAAGGGTTACACAAAACATTAGGTCCCAGGGTGTTGGTCTAGACTGTAGGAAAAAAGAACTATTTGTCTTTTCAAACAGCAAAGAGTCCACTGGGCATGATGGTGCAAGCCTGTAATCCCAGCACTCGAGAGGCTGCAGCAGGAGGATCGCCATGAGTTTGAGACCAACCCGGGCTATGTAGTGAGTTCAAAGCCAGCCTGTGTAACATAGCAAGACCCTGCCTCAAAAACAAAACAACAAAAAAAACCCCCAAATAACAAAGAGTAAAAGACGTGTTATCTTTCATATCTACCCTTCACAAGACGGAGAGTAAGGAGTAAAAACACCGTTACTAAACAGATACTTGATGGGGTTCAAATAACGCACAGTAAACCTTTCTCAGGATCTAAGACTTACAAATATATATGAATTTGTTGCTTTCTGCCCCTCCAAAAGAGAAAAAAAAAAAAATCAGAGTGCCAGGTAAGGTAGCTCCGCAGAGTAAACCGGAACTGTGTACCATTAAATCCAAGTCTCCATGTGGCTGTGATCTGCTTGTGTTGTACACAGCAGCGTTGCTACAGTGCACGGGATGGTGTTGACCATTTAAAATTTTCATTGTTTCTTTATGCCTTCCTACTTTATTGAAATTTACTGTTAGTAGATTTCCCTTACGTCATAAATAAAATTGTCCATAATGGCCTGTTGTCCTAGTTCCTAGAGATGCAGTGTTAATGTTGCATGTGTATTTCCTTCCCATTGGCTGGGCCCTTCACGACTGCAGTGCCAGCTGGTGATTCAGAGAGAGGGCAGCAGCCTCAGGGGAGTAGAGTTAAACCTGTTGCTCATTACTGGGTGTGTGGCCCACGCCTGTGATCCTAGCACTGAGCCGAGGCAGGAGGATTGCTGGAGTTTGAGGCCAGGCTGAATTACACAGCAAGACCTGTCCCCCAAAATAAGAAAAACGAAAGAGAAAATGTGCCTCATAGGGGAAAGTTTAGAATGCTGAATGTGTTAAAACATTGATTGGTGCGTACATATATTACATGGCGTTTTATTAGTTGAAGACTTAGAGCATATTTATTTGGACCTAGCAGGAATGGAACTGTGTTGAGATCAGTGATGGAAATGATGGCTCTTCTTTTAACAGGTGTTTGTTTGCTTGTGGAAAGGCTGTAAAGTGTATAACACTCCCTCCACCAGCCAGAGTTGGTTACAGAGGCACATGCTGACGCACAGTGGGGACAAACCTTTCAAGGTAGGTGTTCGGGGGGCTTGTTCTCAAAGCTCCACTTAGGAGAACTTGTTGGTTTTGTCTTTCTAAAGATTTCTAAAAGAACTATTCTGACACTGCTCTGTAGGTGCTTGCACTTCAGAAATAGATGGAGGTGATTTAATCCATTTTTTTTTCAGCTTGGTGAACAGAAACAAGTGTGCTGTTAAGTGAGGGTCTTCAGACCTGGAGGTGGGCAGATTGTGACTTGAAGGCACGGCTGTCCGTTTCCTGCTGAAGCTTGTGGCCTGGTTATGCCTCCTCACTGTCAGGTTTCAGCATTATTAGCTGACATCACAGCATTCTATGAAATGAAGAAATTGTAGAACATTGAGAGATTTGATTTCACTCAGTTTAGGGGTCATGCTGCCGAGCTTGGTTATAAATCATTTTGTGGAATAGATGTGTTCTGGGAATAAAGAGCACGTTTCTGTAAAAATCGTGTTTTCCATCTACATTAAAAATTAAACACAATATTTTGGTTTCTGATTGTGGAAGGCATGCACAGATTAAAAGTTTGTATTTGAAGTTTAATAGTTGCTAAAGCCGTAATACCTACTGGAATGTAAGTGCTGCGCCAGAAGCTTCCCTTGGGTTTCATGGGAGAATGAGGTAATTCTTGTGGAGTTGCTTTTGGAGCTCACTTAATGTTTTTGAAAGGGCAACTGTAGCAAGTTCAGAAAATGACAGCAGTCTGCAGCGCAGGGCGGTGGGGCCGAGGCTGTCTTCGGGTTAGAGCCCTCGCGCTTTCTCCTTCCTGCACCCGGCTTCCCACCCGCACAACTACTGCTGTTGGTTCCTCTGCTTTTTCTCTGCAGTGAGAGGTGCATGCAGTGAACTGTACTCGGTGTTTTTTTTAATAAAATACGTTTTAAGGGACTTTTCCCCCTTTCTTTTTGGAGATGACGTGTTGCCATGTTCCCCAGACTGGGCTTGAACATGTGGTTGTTCTCTACAGTCGGCCAAATGCTGCGTTGCAGACGGCGCCACCGCTCCCTAGAACAGAGTGAAACACGTAGATATCTCACAAAGGTGACAGTGTCTGTGACCCTCTGCCGAGTTTCTCCCATTATGAGCATCTGACATTGTGGGGCTGGGACCTTGGTTTTGCTTTGTTTTGTTCCATTGGTGTTTCTGAGGCAGTCTTGCTATGTGCTCCATGCCAGCCTTGAACTTGCTGTGTCGCCCACACTGGCTTCAAGTCTGTGGTCTTCCTGCCTCAGTCTCTGCCTGGGCTTCCCACTGAGCTGTGTAGAATCTCTCCTCCCTGCTCGCTTTTAAAAATATTTTGAGACAGGGATCTCACTGAGCTGCACAGGCTGGGCTCGAACTACTGATCATCCTGCTTCAGCCTCCCAAATGCTGGGATTACAGGCATTTGCCACCACTCCTGCCTGCAGGCTGGTCTTGAATTTGCCCTGATTCTCTTGTCTCAGCCTTCTGAGTGCTGGGATTCCAGGCGTGCAGGACTGCACCTGGCAGAGGAATTACCTCCTCAGCTTCCTACCTCAGATGGAGCTGCAGGGCCGGGGCTGTAGCTCAGTGGGAGCAGGCTTACGTAGCGCCTGTGAGGGCCTGGACTTGATACGCTGTGCTACACACACAAACAAGGCACCCACACACGGCCGGTAATACTGCCGACCTGGAGAGTTGTCCTGCACTGTGTGTTCAATAAATACACTATTTTTGGTACCATAAAAGAGTAATTTACATTCTGGTGTGTATTTCCATAATTTATAAGGCAGCCTACTATGGCTAGTTCATTATGATGTTTAGACTGACTTCAAACCCTGTTCAAATGGTTTTTTTCCCCAGCCCCTCTTAGAAGCAGAAGATTCCCATGGAGAAGGAAAGAAGGTTTTTTTTTTTTTTTTTGCTGCTGAGCGTTAAACCCAGGGTCTTTGCTCTGAGCTTCAGCCTAAGCCCTTTCTCTTGAGGCAGGGTCTCATTAATTGTCTAGACTGTGTTTGGCTCACACTTGTACTGCTTCCTCATCTCAGCAGTGCTAGGATTACAGGTGTGTGCCACTTTGTCCAGCAGGAATCTTACCTTTAAAGAAAAATATGTGCTGGGGTGGTGACACACGCCTGTAGTCCCAGTACTTGGCAGGCTGAGGCAGGGGGATCACTGGGCGCTCGAGGCCAGCCTGATCTACCTAGCAAGACCTTCTCTCAGAAAAATAAAAGGGTTTTCTTCCTTTTTTTCTTTTACTCTTTTGGTAGTCCTGGGAATTTGACCCAGGTCTTGCCCATGAGTTCTAACCACTGGTCCGTATCTCTAGCCCTTTTAAAATTTATAGTGAGTATCTGATTACAGATGTCTACCACTGCACCTGGCTCCAAAAAAGATTCTAGGGACTGGGGATTTTGCTCAGTGGCACAGCGCCTGCCTGGCAAGCACAGTGTCCTGAGTTCGATTCCTGGTACCGGAAGAAAAACAAAGAAACAAACAATCAAAAACATTCTAAAGCGGGGCATGCTGGTGCGTAATACCTCTAACTCCAGCATTTGGGGAGGCTGAGAAATAAGTATGGGTAGTAACTTAGCAGCCTCGCAGTATCCTATCTCAAAATAAAGAGCACTTTTTTTTTTTTTAAATTTTAAAGAGTAAAAGAGGGATAACACAATAATGGGGGGGGGCTTACCAAATTACAGAGTGGTAGGAAATTATCAGTGGCTATTGTTTTACATATTGTTATCTACAAGACACTTTCTCAGGAAAACAAATAGATAATAGTGAGTTACAAAAGTGGTAAGAGATTATCAATGGTTGTTGTACTATACTTTGGTATCTTCAAAGTGGCTTCTAAAGAAAATAAATAGAGCTATACATGAGTGACCTATTGAATAATCATTAACTATTCTCAATGGTTGTTGTAGGAAACACATAATGATAGACATGCATCCATTTATGAAACAGGATAGGAACAATATAAACATTATAGAGTTATGGGTAGATTTGTAGGAAAATACCAATGGCTGCTGTAATACGTGGTGGTATCTTCAAAGTGGTTTCTCAGGAAGACAGAGATACGCAAGAAGGATCTAACAAGTAGTTACAGCCTAAGGGTTGTCTAAAATAGCATATTACCTCCTCACCAGTGACTCCTGTCACTGAGGTATGATGGTTGGAAGGAAGGCCAGGATTGAAAAGAAGGACCGAGAGACTTGCATCTGTGTCTGGCAACAGGCTGTTTTCTTGTTCCTCCATAGTCATGATTACCCAGGGCCCCTCCATGGAGATGACGGTCTGGCCAGAGGGAGAAGGCACAGTATGCCCCGGGCCCTCTCACTCCTGTTGGACTAACTGGTAGGGTGGGGCTGAGCTCCGCTTCCGAGGGCAGACTGATCTCCAGTGGTCACCAGTAAAGAGCCCTTTTAACAAGTGGCTGGTGGCTTAGCTCAGTGGGAAGGTCCCGAGTGCTTTAGTACTGTTTTTAAAAAAACCAAAAATCAGTAAACAGAAATAACAAGAAAGTTCTAAGGGAAATGTGTTAATGTATTGTTTTGTGAATCACAGAAATTGCTATTAATTTCAGTATTTTAATTGATTAGTATGTTGTGCATATTACTGGGGTTTAGTATTGTCCATATTACTGGGGTTTAGTAAGCAGTAAAGGTGTACACAAGAAGTGATGAGGTGATGTTTGAATTGACCTTTTATTTTGGACACTACGTAAAGTGTCTAAAAAGTACATGTACATGTTTAGGAATTTAATGATTTACTTTATATGAAGATTGAAAGAATATACTGAAAAAATATTTTCACTAAAGCAAGATTTTCTAATATCTCTTTCCTGCCCTCCATACTTTCCCCCCCATCTTACTCTGATTTCTGTCATTTTCCCTTAGTTGTGTGAACTGCGTCAGGCTTTTTTTTACTCGGTAAATTATTAGTTATTAGATGAATCCAGGTAGGTCTGTGCACAGTCTCTTTCTGTGTTGCTATGCAGTGTTCCATAGTGAGGGTAAGCCACAGTTGGTCTTTTTGTTGGTGGTGGTTTGCATTGCTTCCAGGCTTTGGCTGCGATTAATCACAGTGAACGTCCCCCAGTCTGTCCTGGCAGTGCTCCTGTGTGTTTGTCCTTGGCTGTATGACAACACGTCATTGTATTAGCAGCCCTTTTAATTTTGGCCATTGTGGCTGATGAGCAGTGATGTCTCACTGTGGATATGATTTTTATTTCTCCGATGAGTAATATTGAATTCAATTCTGTGATTTTCTTTTTGTGCTTTTTTTGAGGCAAGGTCCTGCTGTGTAGTCCAGGCTGACCTTGAATTCACTATCTAGCCCAGGCTGGTCTTGAACTTGCAGTGATCCTTCTACCTCAGTTGAGTACTTTATTTTTTTTAGTTGAGTACATGTTTATGTGCTATAGTTACCTGAATATTCTTCTTTAAGGAAAAGGCCTATTTAAATCTGGCTTTTTTTTTTTGGTCTTTTTAAGACAGAGTCTCTCTATGCAGTTCAGGCTGACCTTGAGCTCACTTTGTAGCCCAGGCTGGTCTTGAATTTTCAAGGATCCTCCTGCCTCAGCCTCTTGAGTGCTGGGATTACAGGAGTGCGCCACCATGCCTGGCTCTATTCTGGCTGTTTTTTAATTGGATTTTTAAAAAAATTATTGAGTCATAGAAATTCTTCATCTGTTTTAAGTGTAACTCCCTTGTCGGACACTGTCTTTGGTTATCCTTTCTCTCTTTTCTAATAGTGCTTTATCTTGTGGAGTGTTATATGTGTGTACACACACACACACACACACACACACACACACACTTGCAGTGCAATGCACACACAGTGCAATTTAACATTTACACGGTCATGCAATCAGTATTTCTGTCCAACCACAGAAAGTACATGTGCTTTCAAGAGAGAAAAGAAAGCATAAAAAAAGGGAGTACACTATTTAGGGAGTAGAATGTAGTTTCTTATATGTGATACTTTATGGTGGCAATTTTATTTATTTATTTATTTATTTTGGTTATTCT